TATAATAGCATAGGGATAACTTACCCTGGTGACCAAGTGAACCTGGATGCAAGGAACTGGGTGCACGGAGGGGGAAGGTGGGAAAGGGAGAGGAAGGGTAGAAGGAGCAGGATGTGGTAGACACTAAAACACCCCAGAAAAGCCAGGCTTTCACCTTAAAACCTCCTGGGAAAAGCACACCAAGGACTTAGGCTCCACTTCTCCATTAGAAAAGACAAACCAGGACAAGTAGAAGCTGCTCAGAGCATTCAAGCATGTTTTTTCCAGTGGAAGGAAAAAAGCTTGTGGTTTGAGGACAAGGATTCAGGGCTGAAAACACACTCACAGGCAGAAGCCTTGTTAAATACATATATACACAGAACAAGTGATAAAACATCACCCCGCATCTTACTTTTAAGTTCTGCTTACCCCCCTCAGTGCCTTCCTGACTGCAGATTCCACACGTAATATGTTGGGATAACACACTACACCAGTTACCTGCAATTGTATGAAGCATTGAGGCTTCCTCTTGCCAAAATATCTCCATTTTTAGGTTTGGGATTAAGGTTATGCCAAGACCCTGTGAAAACCCACCAGATGAGAGAAGATTTGTTAAGTTTTGGGTGCTCTGCTACAGGTGCCTCTTCCTAGGCAGGATCCAGCTCTAGAGCTCCATGCACAGTGCCTGTTGCCACACTTTATTTTACATCTAAGAGAAGTTCTGAGGTGGTTTAAAATCCAGATTATAGCAGTGTTGATGGAAATCCCCTGTGAAACAAGCTCATCTTATAGAACCACAGAACGGTTTGGATTGGAAAGGACCTTAAGATCACCTAGTTCCAATCCTCCTGCCACAGGCAAGGGACACCTCACCCTAGATCATGTCACACTCTATCCAGCCTGGCCTTGAATACTGCCAGAGACAGAGCATTTACAACTTCTTTCAGCAACCTGTAAAGAACTTATCTCCAACCTGAACTTCCCATTTCAGTTTGAACCCATCACCCCTTGTCCTACCACTACAATCCCTGAGCTTTTTACTTTACAACTTGGCAGCTGCCCCCCAGACTTTTGATGCCTACACAGCATCCAAAAGCCTCAAACTTGGGATTTCCTGCATTCAGGCGTGTGCTTCGTGTCTGGTCTTGGTTTCCCTCTAAAAGTGGGATTTTTCTTTATCTGTAGAACCTTCAGCAAGGATGCTAAAGCCACATCCCCAGAGAATGAGAAACTTGGTGTTTGTATATAAATTTTATTCTGAAAACAAACCCCAAAGACAAGGAACTATGCAAAACAGAGAATAAAATAAAACAAGCCAAGAAAGCAGCACTATCTTTTTCTTAGCCTGGGACCTGTCTCTGTGTGTACATTGTGGAAGGATGCCTCATAGAATCAGGGAATGAGCAGGTTTCTATTCTAGGTTAATTGACATTTTACTTTCTAAACATAAATCAGAATCTGGCAGCAGAATTCAGGCTGGGAGAGCTGCAGCCTCAGCTTGTCCTCAATTTGGACACTAAGAGGGGGACAGAATGTTCCTGGAACTGGGATTCCAGTCTTATATTAAACAAAGAAGGGAACCTGTACCCAAACCTCATTAAAGAGACCTTTACTTTGTTACTTCTGGTCTCCTTCCCAACCCCAGCCTGCCTTCAGTTCATATCTAAGGTTTCTTCTTCAGCCTCTGCTGCGTGCACCTACCTCCTTCTGATGCATTGTGTCACAAAACCTCCATCATTTGGACCCAGTTTGCTCTCTAAGTGTTTAACTCTGCATTTCTTAAATCACAGATGGTGCTTATCACCAGCACCTCCCTTTATCTCTACAGCCTGGGTGTCACCTCCAGTCCTGGTGGCTTTATCAGAAGTTCCAAAATGCTCAATGCTGTTACTCCAGCAACAATTCCTCCCCTTCAGCTCCCCCACTGTGGCTGTTTCAGCTCTGCAGCGTCTGATTCACTAACCTAGCCTTGTCAGGAAGTGCTTTGCCAGCATCCTTCTTAGCTCTAACACACAGGACAGAGAAATTACAGTTTGCTATTAGCCTACAATTCCTGGTTGAACATAAAAACCAATCTCAGTCAGCTCCATATCCTGCAGAATGTGATGAACCACTCTGGCTATTTCCCCTTTTTGGTCTTTGAGGCTGTGGAATTGTTGGTCTTGGCTTTCTTCTTTGCTGACCCCTTGGTCTCTGGCTCTTTGCGTTTGGCTGATGTGATGGAGCCTGTCACCTTGAAGAAGTCATCCAGCCTGCCCTGTGTGCTGCCCTGACGGCTCTTGCTCAGCCTTTTCACCCCATTACGGATCCGTTCCTCATTGAACTGCTTCTCCCCACACATGAACTGGACAATCTGCTCCTCATCCGGCTCGGTCCACTTCAGCTCAATAGTGTCAGGGTTGACCACATCAGGCTCTAAGAAGAGCTTCTGGGCCTCTTTGTGCAACCAGTTCTCAGGCAGAGGGTACTTCTTGGTGTCTATCTGCTGAATGATCTTCTCGATGGTTTTATGCTCCTTGATGAGCTCAACAGCACGCTTGGGCCCGATGCCACGGATGCTTGCGCAGTAGTCACAGCCCAGGAGGATGCAGAGATCCACAAACTGCTCCCAGGTCAGCTCCATATCCTGCAGAATACGGTTCAGGTGGAACTCCTGGATGGGCAGCTTCTTTGTCTCGCTGGCAGTGAGATGCCTCATCAGCACAGGACTGCCAAAGGTCAGACAATCCATATCTTCTGTAGCAGCTGCATAGACCTTCCCAGCCTTCACCAAGGTAGCACAACTGGCTTCAGCCTCCCCTGGTGCCTCCACATAGGGGATTCCCATCAGAGTTAGCAACTTCTTGCACTCATCATTGTGCTGCTGGGTCACCTTGACCAACCTCTTGCTGTATTTCTCAATGTTGTTCTCCTCTCCAGCCTCCTGAGCCTCCTGAAGGTGTTTCTCAGCCTCAGCCCGGCGCTCGGTTCTCTTTGCCAGCTCCCCTGACTTCAGCTCAGGGGGTTTGCCATCAAAGACATAAACTGGCTTGATGCCATTCTCCACCATGCGGATGGTCCTGTAGAACATGCCCATCAGGTGGCTCGTGGTCTCACCTTCCTCGTTCTGAAGCACATCAGCTCCTTGCCGTACGGCGATCAGGAACTGGTAGATGCTCATGGAGGCATCTATAGCCACCTTCCGGCCAAAGTAAGACTTGATGTCATTCTCCCGGATGGCAGCAGGTGCCACATCCGCAATAAGCTTGGCCAGGCCATGGATTCCCATCCTAAGGAACAGAAAAGGAGATGCTGGGGTCAGCCTCTGCACACACATGGTGCTTGGGGTTAGGAGCTGGTATATCACCCAAGCAGGGAGGACCAAAGGGCTGTGATGCTGCCCCTGTGATGCTGTAACCCCCAGCCTCAGCACCATTCCCTAACCACCATTACACCCCACCTCAGCCTCCCCAGCACACCATTAACTCCCTGCCTAAGCTCATTGTTACACCACTTCCTATCTTAGCTTCTCCCAGCTCAGCCCCTCTCTCTGTCACACCTCCCACAGCCCCACCATTATAACAGTCTAGGCCCTATTACCCTCATTCCCACCTTCCCAGTTCCCGGCTCCATCATCATAGGATCATAGAATAGTTTGGGATGGAAAGGACCTTAAGATCATCCAGTTCCAAACCCCTGCCATGGGCAGGGACACCTCACACTAAACCATATTGTCCAAGGCTTTGTCCAACTTGGCCTTGAACACTGCCAGGGATGGAGCATTCACAGCTTCCTTGGGCAACCCATTCCAGTGCCTCACCACCCTCACAGTGAAGAATTTCTTCCTTAGATCCAATCTAAACTTCCCCTGTTTCAGTTTTAACCCGTTACCCCTTGTCCTATCACTACAGTCCCTGATGAAGAGTCCCTCCCCATCAACCCCTTACCTACCATTACTTCTCCTGGCTGCTGCTGTTAACCCCATTCCCCCTCCTTCAGCACACCCTTACCTGGCCCCCTTCCATTTTCTGCCTCTTCCTGCCTTATCCTCTCCAGCCCACTGGTGTTCCCTCATTCCCCCCCTTCACCCCGCTTTCCATGCAGCCTCCCCAGCCCCCAGGTAGCCCCAACCCCAGCTCAAGCCTCCCACAGCCACCATTAGCACCCCTCTCCCAACACCCCCCCCACGTTCCCTCCTCATTCTGCCCCAACCACCATTACCCCCTCCTCAGAATGCCTCAACCACCATTATCCCCTCCTCATTCTGCCCCAACCATTATTACCCCTCCTCATTGTGCCCCAACCACCATTCCCCCCTCCTCAGAATGCCCCAACCACCATTATCTCCCCTCGGGGCCCACCTCAGCCTGTCCCACACATCCCCTCTCACCTCACCCAGTCCCGGCAGCCATTATCCCCTCCCCATTCCCTCCGCGCTCCCTCCCCAGCACCACCACCCCCCGCACGTCCTTCTCAGCCCACCCCAGCCTCCATTACCCCCTCCCCGTTCCCTCCTCAGCCCACTCCAGCCTCCATTACCCCCTCCCCGTTCCCTCCCCAGCCTCCATTACCCCCTCCGCGCTCCCCCCTCAGCACCACCACCACCACCACCACCACCACCACCACCCGCCCCATGACCCTCCTCAGCCCACCCCAGCCTCCATTATCCCCTCCCCAGCCTCCATTACCCCTCCCCGTTCCCTCCCCAGCCTCCATTACCCCTCCGCGCTCCCCCCTCAGCCACCATTACCCCTCCGCGCTCCCCCCTCAGCCACCATTACCCCTCCGCGCTCCCCCCTCAGCCACCATTACCCCTCCGCGCTCCCCCCTCAGCCACCATTACCCCTCCGCGCTGCCCCCTCAGCCACCATTACCCCTCCGCGCTCCCCCCTCAGCCACCATTACCCCGCAGCTCTCTCCCGCCGCTGCTCCCGCGCTCCGCCGCAAAGCCCGCTGGGAGCCGGCGGAGCCAATAGCGAGCGGCTCCACTTGGCCCCGCCCCCCTGTCCCGGCATGCCTCGCTCCCACTTCCGCTTCCCCTGGGCAGCGGCGGGGCCGGAGGCGACGTGTCCGTAACGGAGCGGGCCTGAGACCATGGTGAGGGCCGGGAGCCCCCTTCGTCACCCCCCATTCCCCGACCCATTCTCACTGCCCTTCCCCGCGGCCTCTCCCAGCTCAGCCCCGCTCCCTGTCACGTCTCACTCCCTGTTAGAACCATTTAGACCGCATGAGGCCCATCCCGTGGTTGCCGTTTGTCGAGGTTTAAACCCGGACAATAAGTCAGCCCCCTCCTTTCCCCTGTGCTCCCGGAGGGATGGGGAGAAGAATGGGAAGGATTTAAATCCCACGGGTTGAGATAAAACCAGTCTGGTAATTCAGGTATAACACAGAACCACTGCTGCTACCCCCAGCATCAATAATGATGAGGGAAATAACAAGGGGAGAGAATACAATTGCTCAGCACCCACCGACTGGTAGCAGCCCGACGCAAGCAGCAGTCTGGGCCTTCTGGGTGACTCCCTCCAGTTTCCCTAGTGGCATGGCATGCTGCAGGATGGAATACCCCTTTGGTGAGTTTGGGTCAGGGGTCCTGTCTCTGCTTCCTCCCAGTTTCCCGTGCTCCTCCTCACTGGTGGAGCATGAGACTGAAAAGTCCTTGATTGGAGCGACCATTACTGAGCAACAACGAAAACATCGGTGTTATCCGTGTTGCTCCCAGATGAAAGTCAAAACCCCAGCTACTAAGGAGCAAACCAACTGCTCCAGCTGAAGCCAGGACACCATTTCCACCATTGCCCCCAGCCCGGTACTTCTCCCCGCTCACCTTTGCTTTGTCCCCACAGGAGCTAGAGGCAATGAGCAGATACACCAGCCCGGTGAACCCCGCTGTGTTCCCGCACCTCACCGTGGTGCTGCTGGCCATTGGCATGTTCTTCACCGCCTGGTTCTTCGTGTATCCACTGGCTGGGGGTGTGGGGAATGGGTTGGGGGGGTCAGGGAGTGGACAGGGGGTCCTCTCACCCCACATCTGTTATCGCCTTAACCCTGGGGCTGCAGCTATGAGGTGACTTCTACCAAGTACACACGGGACATCTACAAGGAGCTGCTGATCTCCCTGGTGGCCTCGCTCTTCATGGGCTTTGGGGTTCTCTTCCTGCTGTTGTGGGTCGGTATCTACGTCTGAGGCACAGACAGCAGAGCACTGGGACCACCTTGTGAACCCCTGCAGCTGTAAGCTCCTGAGGGCTTGGGGGGGGGGGCTGTCCAGAAACGTGGCTTATCTCTATAAAAGCTACCTTTCCTCATATAGAGCTGGGATGTGCAAAGGGCTGTGCCTCCTTGCAGCAGCAGCCCCGGGGCTGGGTGTTGCTGGTGCTCTGTGGCCTCAGAGCCTGGCCCTGGGGAGCATGGTCCCACCAACCTCCTTTATCTCCTCTTCGGTTCTAGGTGGGATGCCCTACAGAAGCTCCTTTTATATTTCTTTTCTACTTCAACACCACATCCCATAGCAGACATGGGCTGTGCTCCTTCGGGTGACTTCTACCAACCCAGCAAACCAACCCTGAATAAAACTGGCTCTGTGATGCCTCTGCCTTTGCATTGATGGTTTGTCTTTTAAGTGATTTTGTGGTTTTCCAAACCACTTGGATTTTGGCACAAGATCCACTTACCTTGGGCTGGGATGGTTAGTTACGGATTTTCAAAGCTGTTGGTGCCCAGAAGTGTTTCAGTGCAGCAAGACTCCAGAAAATCAGTGTTTCCTGCTTCATCCTAAGCCTGTTTTTATAGCCTTCAACCTTCCCACCATCGTGTCCCCTCACCTTTTCACCTCATGGCCATGCTCCTTCTCATCCTGAGCCAGTGGCTTTGTGGCCCTCACTCTTTGGCCACTCAGAAGAGTTTATTTATGGGCTATAACTATATTTTAATAGGTCGTTTTCAATTTATAACCTAGTTTTCAAAGCATTTAGGTCTGGCAAATCCCACTGATGAATGACATGGGGGGGTTCCTCCATCTTGTGGGAAACAGTTTTACAGCTACTGAACCAAAACCCAGTTATTTCCCAGCAAGGGAGGATGTGCCAAGAGCCATCCTTGGATACAAAGCAGTATTTATATATTTATTTATATGGGTATTTTTACCTCCAGCATAAAACAAAGTCTAAATAAGCCAAACAACAACAACAAAAAAAAAAGAGTGGGGAATCCAGAGATTCAGCACTCAAATTCAGCAAAATATAAATACAAATCAGAAAGAAAGGAGGGAAACCACCTTTGTTCCCCACAAATAAAAACTGAGCATGATAATACCTGCTAAAGAATGCAACCCTACAAACTTGCTGGCAATATACAGTGATTAAAGCTGTGACAGCAACATTTAAAACCAAACAAATTAGTGCTTTACTTGTTTTCTTCCTTAATTCGTGCAGTGGTGGCAGAGTCTCTATTTACAGGCTTTTAAGCTCCATCAGTGGGACAGAATGTTTGTGAATTTGCTTTTGAAACAAACTCCGAAACAGCCAAACTTTGGCAAGTGGCCTCATTTCCACCTTGTTTTCCTTCCTGCTGAGGATGTCTGGAGGGATGAAGTGTTTCCAGCGGGAAGAGAGGGCTTTTCCCTAAGCTGGAGGGCTGGAGGCAGCAGCTCAGAGCTCCCTCCCCTTGTGCAGGGCAAGGCCTGATTGTGAACTCTCTTATTACTGATTGGGGATGGGGAACACATCTGTTAGGGCACAGACACTTTGGGGGGACTCTGTATAGTTGTTTCCTTGGGCTTTGAAGCAATCCTGTGAAGTTCAGTAATTACAAACCCCTTTGGAGCTCATTTCTGCTTTGCTCTGCAGCAGCTGCCAGACACTTTGTGATACACTTGAAGACAAGATAGAAGACCCTAAACCCTGCATTCTGGATCCCTCTCCTGGCACCATGGATTGCTTCAGCCCGGTGCTGCTCTGCTGTGACACAGCTGTATGTGGGTAGGACCAGCCTTGGCACTTCAGGTGTTGCCTTAGTCTCAGTTTTTAAGCTATTTACCCCTGCTTTTGAGGCACTCAGTGGTTTATGTACATGTGGGGAACCTCTGTTCCCTTGTGCTGTCCTGGCATCAGAAAAAAAGGCACTAGAGATGTTTCCATAGCCCTTAGGCACTTGGGTTGCTGGGAGCCCTCATGAACCCCATGGTTCAGCATCACAGAGATACCTGAGAGACTCCATCTTCTCTTGGGCCACTGCTGGTAGCACTTATCTAGTGATTGGTTCCTTCCCTTCAGGAGTGGCTTTGGAGCTGCACTCATGGCTCTTCCTCAGCCAGGAACACCAGTAAGGGGGTGATCACAGGCAGTGCTTTCAGCCCTAGCCATCACAACACCCCCCATCACCTCTTCAGGGACTGAATGAGCACATGGGCATCTGACTCAGCTTGACAATACAGGGGGAAACAGCAGGTCTGAGATGGTTACCTCTAAGATTTGCAGAATTCAAAGAGCACATGGTGTCACCCACCACTAAGGACATGTCAGACTGGGCCACTGATTGCCAAGTGGAGAATAAAAGCTGCCAAGAAAGTAACTTCCCAGTTTAAGGCCAAGCAGAAGGAGGGTGGATGGAGGGAAGGGTTCTGTGTGGCTTCTTCAGAGCTACACCATGGGGTGCCCTTCCTGCTCACTGGGAGAAATACAGAATCCTGCTGAGCATGGCACAGGGTGCCCAGAGAAGCTGTGGCTGCCCCATCCCTGGCAGTGTTCAAGGCCACGTTGGACACAGGGGCTTGGAGCAAGCTGCTCCAGGGGAAGGTGTCCCTGCCTGTGGCAGGGGTTGGAGCTGGATGAGCTTTAAGGTCCCTTCCAATACAAACCACTCTGGGATTCCATGGAGCTGAGCTGCTCATGCATAGCTGCTCCCACCTTTGGGGTCTCTTGTGTTGCCCCTGAGCTTCCCAAAATCAGGTAGTCCCTTAGCTCTGCTCCTGCTTGGCTGCCCAGCATTCCCTGCTCACCCACTGGATCCAGCCTGCTCAGGTTTCCATGGATTTTAGTAACTGGAGAGCATAACCAGTGTATAGTTGTGCTTGGTGCCTGTGGGAATGCAGCCCTGAGCTGCAAATAGCGAGCCTATGGTGGCAGAGACACCTACTGGTGGTGCTGTCGCAAGGAATTGCAGGGCTACGGCTGCTTTCCTGGGACATGCTTGGAAAGAAGCTCCAAGATGTGTGACAGGAGATGAAAACTGCTCCTGGACTTGGAAGGGAAGGATGTGCAGAGTCTTTGCAGCTTGTTTCTCCAGAGCAGCAGAGCCATCCATGGCCTCCTCAGTGCTGGTGAAGGGAAGGAGGGATTGCTGTGTCCATCTCCACTGAAGGCAACCAAACGCAGCAGCCAGAGCCTGATGGTGATTCCCCAAACCAGTTCGGTTCAAGTGATGTCCAGTGGCAGGGCTGCAAGGGGCAGGATGTGCTCTTCTCTGAAGCCAGCTTAGAGTGAGCTTCAGGATGGGTGAGTGACATTCCCCCCTCGCTGCCTGTCCCCAGCAGTGGCTGAGCTTTCCTTTGGCAAACAAGCTCATCCTCCAGGAACTCAGATGTCTCCTTAGCAAGAGGTGCAGGAGCAGGACGAGGGGAGGACACAGGCACTGGTTGGTTGGTCTGCTGCATCCCAGCACTGCTGTAGCTTTAACATGGAGCACTGCAGCGGCCCCCTTTGGTTTTCTATGGAGGACACACGTAGCTCAACAGAGACAGAAGTAAAAGACCCATTTTTATACAGTTTAAACCCAAACTAATTCAGTAGTTTAGCAAGTTAAGAACTTGTAACAGTAAAATACCCAAAACACACTTGTCTGCTTTCAGCCAACAGTGAGAGCGAGGACATACAGTCACTGCCATTACCCCTTTGGGGGTGACAATCAGCCTCTTCAGTGCCTGGCAAGGAGCTGGTAGCCAGTGAAGCCACCTCACACGTCCCCAGGGACTCACCCTTGCTCTGCATGGTGTTACCAGGCTTTGCCAGGGGTCTCTTAATGCACATCATCTGGGTGGCTGGGTCGACCTGGCAGCTCCACGCACTGCAAGAGGCCACACACTGCTGCCAAATGACAATAAGAAGGGGTCCCACCACATTTAATGCAGGTGACTCAGGGTCATTGATGGGAAGTGTCCTCACGCATGGTCTGGCCTGGGCACAGCCTCAGCAGCAGCTTTAGTGGGGTTCATCCAGCCAGACCTGGGTAGGGTGAAAGAGTCCAGCAAGGAGGGGGACAGAAGGGGCTGAAGATGAAGCTGCACCTTCTCTCATTGTCCATAGAGAGTCCATTCCAGGTCCAGGGGGCAGGGGGCTACGGAGGGGTGGCCCTGGGCCAACCAGAAGGAACAGCAACTCCAGTGTATGACTTCCAGTAAGTCCAGGCACAGCCTGCCTTTCCAAGCCAAACTCCAGCGTTGTGCTCTTGGAAAGGGCTCCAGTGTTGAGCAATTCCAGTGTTGTGAAGAAGCGACGTGGTACATCAGGGCCAGCACAGGATGGAGCTCCCATCCGTGGGCAGACCTGTCCAGTGTAATGCTTTCAAATCCAGTGTTGCAAGGGGAAGGAGAAGCGATGGAGGACACAAGCATCCCAATAAGGGATGGGGACACAGGTTTGGGATGGTGGAAGTCAGGGTGAGGTGAGCCCAGGAGATACCAAGGGGCTGGTTGTGTTTCTGCGGCTTAAGTCCCATGTTCTGCATGTGCTTCGGTGCCTGTGGCACCAGTCACAGCCAAACCAGCCCCACGCAGGAGCTGGGGGTGATGTGGGGCTGGGGGCTAGCAGAGGAGGGCATACAGGAGTCTTCCCCAGTGTCACCAGTCCCCCTTCCTCTCTCCAAGCAGAGGGCACTGGTGCTGCCAGGACTCACTCACAGAGCCAGTAAAACTGAAGGTAATAGTCAGTGAAAAGGTGGCCCATCTGCTCAGGAGCAGTGCTGCAGTTGGCTTGGCCCTGTGAGAGAGCAAGAGAAAGAGCTGGTAAAGGTAGGATACATGATCCAAGGGGGAATTGTGCCTGAATTATGTGTTAGGTAAAGGAAAGTCATCCCCCAACCACCCAGGTAGCTGTAGAAGGCAACAGCCACGATGGAGAGGGCTGTGGAAGTGCTAAACCTGATTCAAAGAGGGCAATCGGGTACTGGAATAGGCTTCCCAGGAAAGTGCTGGAGTCACCATCCCTGGAAGTGTTCCCAAACTGTATAGACAAGACCCTCAGTGCCATGGGTTAGTGGTGGCCTTAGCAGTGCTGGGGTAATAGAATCATAGAATCATAGAATAGTTAGGGTTGGAAAGGACCTTAAGATCATCCAGTTCCAACCCCCTGCCATGGGCAGGGACACCTCACACTAAACCATGGCACCCAAGGCTCTGTCCAGCCTGGCCTTGAACACTGCCAGGGATGAAGCATTCACAACCTCCCTGGGCAACCCATTCCAGTGCCTCAGCACCCTCACAGTGAAGATTTTCTTCCTTACATCCAATCTAAACTTCCCCTGTTTCAGTTTGAACCCATTACCCCTTGTCCTGTCACTGCAGTCCCTAATGAAGAGTCCCTCCCCAGCATCCCTATAGGCCCCCTTCA